TCTTCGCCGGGGACCTCAGCAGCGGCAGCACCCAGATGAACGTCAACTACTACCCGCCGTGCCCGGACCCGAGCCTCACGCTGGGCCTCCTCCCGCACTGCGACCGCCACCTCCTGACCGTGCTCTCCCAGGGCGACGTCGCCGGGCTGCAGGCGAGGCACGGCGGGCGGTGGCTCCTCGTCCGCCCGATCCCAGGCGCCTTCGTCGTCAACCTGGGCCACCAGATGGAGATCATCACCAACGGGCTCCTGGCCAGCGTGGAGCACCGCGCCGTCACGAACACCGCCGCGGTGAGGCTGTCGGTGGTGACCCTCATCATGCCCAAGATGGAGTGCCGCATCGGGCCGGCGCCGGAGATGGTGAACGAGGCGACGGGACCAGCCAAGTTCAAGGAGTTGGAGTTCAGCGAGTTCATGAAGGCCTACAGCGCCGCCGCCGCCAGCAGGGAGGACGTGCTCCACTACTTCAGGATCCACCGCTAGCTAGCTCGGGCTCAGCGGCTCCATAAATAAAGGACCCCTCTGTTGCTGCTCGCGTCCTTGTCCAGCGCAGCGCGGCGCGAAAACTGCTGTGCTCGCGTCCTTGTTGCTCGCCAAGACCGCTGGGATTTCTTTTCTGGGAGTTCCTTCTCTCTCACACACACACCTCTCTCAATCCATCCCCACGCACGCACGTCGTCCCTTCTTTTCGTTCGCGCGCCCCCATCCATCAAGATGCCTACCACAAGTTAATTTCCACTCTACACCAACCTGCTGTGCTGTATGAGTTTTGGGTGATCTTATCATCCAGCTGAGAGTTCAGACTTGATGCGTGATCCTCAGCGTGCCTACCACAACTTTTTTTTTTGAAAGATCCAGCTGATTGCTGGCTTGTATTGATAGATAGCAGGGAGCAGGTGATAAAACATCAAGTGTGGGTTCTGATCCGAAGATCAAAGGAGATAAAAAAAAGAAGAATTGCAAAAGAAGCGGCTATGGTGCTATGGCTATTCTCTCAGGGAGGATCCCAGAAAGGGTGCTCCAAAAATGTTGCTCCCACTTGGCGCCAAAATTCTAATGTTTGTTGGATGGCTGCAGTGATGCTTGCCTGCGTTGCCATCTTGCCTCTCAAGGTGCTCTCGTTTCTTGCCTTCCAAAGCTCGGAGATGATGAGGATGATGGTGGTCTTGAGGGCCTTCTTGTGTTCAGCCCGCGCTGAATCGATCATTGCAGCAATGATGGCCGTCGGCTTAGTCTTGTTTTGCCACTGCAAAGGGTGGAGTGAGCTACAGCCATATCCGACTGCCGCATTCGTCCAGACCTCAAGCGACGGTGGGCACTGCCAGAACAAATGCATGAAGGATTCCATGCTTCGGATGCACGGCTGGCAGAAATACTCATTTGGCCATCCTCTATGTTGGAGACGGTCATTGCACCATAATCTGTTTTTTGAATAGTAACCATGTGAAGATCTTCATCTTAGCAGGTGCCCAAGTGTTCCAGATCATGTTCTTGAAGTCAGACTTGATGAGGCCTTGAAATTGCACCTTATAGGCAGAGCTAGCAGTGTATATTCCTGATGCTTTATGCTTCCATTTGATGGTCGTGTTCTTGAAGGCGAATATCAGCAGCTTGGATCCACCTATGCAACCTGATTGTTTCGGCCCAAAGGTGTTGAGTGTCTCCATGGGCAAGGTCTTGTATCTATGTGTCAGTTTGTCAAGGCTTGTTTGACTGAACGGTTCTTCCTTCTTGAGTGTCTGAAGAGAGTGGGAATGGTTGTCTTCAGGTTGCCCGAGCCTGTCCATGAGCAGTGCCAGAAGAAGGCCTTCTTGCCATTGCCCAGCGTGACCGAGGTGGAGGCATTGAACAAAGCTCGGTCTCCCTCATCACATGGCAATTGCATGTCAAACCATGGTCTGTCCGAACTGGTCCGGGACAGCCAAATCCATCGCAGCCGTAGCGCTCTACGGTTTAGGTCGAAGATTCCTAACCCACCATTTTCAATAGGCTACCACAACTTGTCGTTGCAAGATGAGGTCGTACGTGGTCCTTCCATTATACGTCTCACAAATTAGATTAGACTGAAATGTGTAGGAAAGTGACACAAAAATACACAGATGACTTCATGCATCGATGGCACATGCATGCACGCGTGCCTAGCCAGCTACTCCCTCCGTTTCAAATTACTCGTCGCAGAAATGGGTGTACCTAGAACTAAAATACATCTAGATACATCCATACCCGCGACAAGTAATTCGGAACGCAGGGAGTACAAACTTACGTCCATGCACTCCCTCTGCTCCATGCTACTCCTTCCGAGTCCCACAATATAAAAACATCTACGGCCGGACCCATCAAACCCGCCTCATACGTCTGGAAGGACCGGCCAGTCATTGACCGGTCAAATTTTTTTGACCGAGATGGACGTCTTAAACGGGTCTCAAACACCTGGGCTTACCGTCACCCCTCATATCCAGCCCAAATATGTGGAGGATATGAGGACACCTGGGTGCGCCCACCACATCAGACCCGGCTCATGCTGGCCCATGTGACCCCATATATATCCGTCCCCAACCCGGCCTGGCCTACGAGGTCACTGTCTGTTACAAATTAGTTTAGGTTTTAGTTGAACGGATAAAATATCATTCAGTTTATATAAAATATATCGAATTTATGTCCGTTTGCATGAATAATGTCATCTTCGCATGAATTATGTCTGAATCTATTTGTATTAGGGACGAAGGTTTACGGTTAACTTTGAATGGCTGGCTCTTCGTATCACTTTTCACAGACAAGTCCATAGACAAATACTATATCCAACGTTGAAGATGCCCTAAGAAAATACACACATAATAGAATACAGTGCTTGTATTTGCTTAGAAGGTACACGGTTGACGGTTGTTTATATATACTACTCAAGTAAGTATTGCGAATTATTACGGCAAATACATCACGCATCACTAAAACCTAGACTGGAAGTTTTGAATACTACTAAAAAGAAAATCAATGGTTTTTTTTTTTGCGATGAGAAAAATAAATCTTTCCCTAATAATAAAGCACGGATTGAGTCTCTCGGGTTCACTGTCGCAGCGTTTCTACACAAAGTTTTCTATGTTTTCGGGTAATTAAACCTGCAGTCCAATATCATATTATACTCCCTCCGTCCCATAATATAAGAATATTTTTTACACTAGTGTAGTGTTAAAAACGTTGTTATATTTTGGAACAGAGGGAGTATTAATCTGCCGACAGAAGGAAAAAACGGTTCTGAAAATAGGAACCCGTACGCATCTGCCTCCTCAACTCGAACCCTCGCCTTTGCCCATGCCGAGCCCTCTCCGCCGCCACACCTCAGCCCCCTCGCCGCCGCCACACCTCAGGCCCCTCGCCGCCACGGCAGCACCTCAGCCCGCCCGCCGCCCCCGTCGACGCGGTCGCACCTCAACCCGCTGGCCGTCCCCGCCTCCGCGGTCGCACCTCTGCCCGATCGCCGCACCCGTCGGAACCCAACGCCCCCTCCCCCCTCCAATGGATGCCGCCCCAACTACCTCATCCAATAGGACGCCGGCCGCGGCGTCACGAAGTTGCTGGCGTCGCCCAGTTCGCCGTGGGTGAAGGCGCCTCAGACGCAAGCGAAGCTGGAGCTTCTTCAACGTATGCCTCACCATGGGGCTCGCTGTGCTGCTGGTGGACAGCCGCGGTCTCGCTGGTGTGGTGCGAGACTTCCAGATCACCCGGCGGCTGGGTTTGGAGGATGGCGTTCCCACAACTCCTCATCGGGGGTGAGCGCAGCATGGAGCAGCAAGCCCATAGCTCCCTCAACCATCATGCTAATCTCTTCTTGTTATTCATCCTGAATCTATCGTACACATACAGTACATGCTTATGTATTGTCTCAATGATTATCCTATTTTTTTAGGATTCAACTTGCGTTTTGTGCAATGTCATATACTCAATCAACAAGTTCTCAGTTTTTTTTGCAGGATTTGTGTTTGTTCGGATGCTTAGGTCGATTGCCTGTTTTGTGCAGTTCCATAGGGGCTGCAGGTGCAGCTGCATCAAGCGAATTGGCCGACGGCGTGCAATGCATAGACAAAGCAAAAGTCAGTATGGAGCAAATACGAGTTCGGTTGCTTTTCTATACGACCACTACATTTAAATTTGGATAGCTATTTCTCTAAATGTAGCCAGGGCACTAGATTCATTTGCTTTTCTTTTCTTTTTTCAGGACAATTTCACTTTGATTTTGTTGTTAGTGACTGATTGAGGCGTCATTCCCACCACGGCGGTGACGGCAACCTTCGTTCCCCCTCCAGCCGCTGTGTCCGCAGCGTACCGCTCCAACGCCATCTGACACAACCGTCTTGTGGTGGAGGAGGGCCACCTCGATCACATTGGGAAGCAGTGAGTGTGGGCTTCGCCACATGTTCTGCCGAGTCATCGATGTCAGTTTGTAGGTTTGTGAGTGCACTGTCTGGTGCTTCTTTTTACGGTGTCCGTCAACCCAAGCACAGCGTGTTCCAAGTATTAACTGAGAGAGTGTGCTCCCATTGGGTTCTGCATGCGGACACTTTGGCCGGTGAGGAATAACTGGAAGTTTCTCTGATTGTCGACAACAAGGTACCCCACTGCTCTGAATATTTACATGGTTAATGTGAGTTGAATCATCAAAGGTCTGCGCGTTGGTAATGGTTGAAAAATTCATTGCATTAGAGAAAACTGAACAGTCTATCAGTTCTCTAATAATACATATTACAGAATGTACCTTTCTGTTCGATCATAGGATCACTGCACAACAGGCTTTGGAGCAGGCTCTGATTCACGGAGAACTCCCCAGTAACCTCACCTTTATTAGATGGATATTGAATCCAGTAAGCCTCCAATAGATAAACAAAGTCAATTTTGTGTTGGTAGTTTGCATGACAGGGTTCTACCTAATTTATGATTGTGCCTACAACAGACTACCTCTGCCTGAAGATTTGAGGTGTGACTCAAATTTCGTGCTGTTAGAAATCAACAATGGAGATTTCAGTTTTTTTTCATGTATATTCATACGGATTTCAAGTTTAACAGATCGTAAAATTTTATTCTATAATCAGATCTTGGTATGTTTTCATATTTTTCAGAGAAGAAAGAGGTCTAGAGGCGTGGACGTATGTTTTTAGGGGGAATCAAGTCTGCAGAATATACACTAATTTGAGGAATTCAGATGTTACCCATGGTCATACAGGGAAAGTGTGAAGCACTCTGGACAATTTTCCGCATTTCTCATCCAAGAAGCCGTTACATTTATGATCTTTTCTATAGAAGAAGGAAGGATATATCTAAGGAGCTGTATGAATTTTGCCTGGGCCAGGATTATGCAGACCGTAATCTGATTACAAAGTGGAAAAAGGTTAGTTGCCTCAGCTTTATATCATTTGAGCTAGGGACCAAGACGGATGAGGTTGATTTGGCTTGATCATGCCAAAGAAATTTACTTCTTTTTTGGAAAATGAAAGCATGTTTTAGAAGTTCAGGGTTAAGTTACCAAATCTGAGCTTTATAGCAAAGCAAAGAGGATCAAGAGAAGCAGAGTAGGATAATATAGGTTCACATAGATGTAGTAATATGTCACTATCAGCTAGCTCAAGTATGTATGACTGTAGGATAATACAGGTTCACATATATGTAGTAATCTGTCACTATCAACTAGCTCTAATTGAAATGTTCTTGGAGCAGTTCCATTTGCAAATAGACCAGCTACATGGGCACACACATACACACACATACACCCTAATTGAGATATCATATTACTTACATGATGTGGGTTATTCAGGTTATTATGATAAATTATTTGACTGATCATTGTACGCTGACAAATGGCTAGGCTTCCTTTAGATCCAATGTACTTCAAGGCATTGATAGTGTCTACCGAATTCAAGTGCTTGGAAGGAATATCGATTGATGTTCGTAGTTACACTTGTCTGCAATGAGACGACGTACAGGAGCAATAAGAAGGATCTGATGATGTACTTATGGGCTGCCGAGCAGAACCACAAATAGCCGTTTCTCCTTTGCTGCATCAAGGTCAGGAACCTCCAGACTCATTGCTTTTTGGTCTTTATTTTGTTGGTAAATAAATCGTAGTGCAGTGAATTACATAGAATGGAGGGACTTGAGATTTTTTTTATGTCTAGGTGAATAACAGAATTTTTTTTCTTTAACATAACATTCTGTTTTGCTATTCCAAACGTGCTTGCCAATGTGCTCTTTATCGAACAATCTTTTGGCCTTCAATGTTTCGAACCACTGTTTGTCACAGTTTTTTAGATCGCTTGTAGATTTTATTGACCCCCTCACCTAAACGTGGAATTGAGTGATTTTGTTTACTTTCGAAAGCTTAAGTCAATAAGCATATGGAGAAAAAAATATTAAAAATTTGGTAAAAAATTCAGAGGATAAATTGAAGAGAGAAGTTTCATTGTCCCTGTTTTGGAGCTTATATTTTTGTTATCGAGAGCTAGGTTTGTTGTTCCTTTTGTGCAATTAAGCTCGTGCCGCTGGAACCATGTGTACATTTAATCATGGCATCGGGGTCCACAGATGTTGTTACGACACGAAATGTTTGATGATTATCATTGCAGATGCCCTCAAGCTCAGGAATACTCTTATTATGTCTTTGATTCTGTTAAAGACCCAATATATGATGAGGTGCTGCCTCTCCTGATGCTGAGCTATTTAGAATTTGGTATTTCACATATTTTTTTGTCTGGCCAGTAAATTTCACAAACATAACTGCAGGCCATCTGCTCCTGCGCAATGAAACTGTTTCAAAATTCCTATTGTGTTTGACACCCTGAACCACTTTATTAGATAACAGCTTATAACTTCCACTTCTTTTTTATCGACTATATATGCTCTATGGATGTCGACAAATTTGATTGCAGGGGCTAGCAATGCTTCATTTCAAGCTACTGTAATAACTGTTGTTGGTTAGTTACCTCTGATCCTAGCAAGTGAAATTAGAACTGATACATGTACAGGATTGTTGTTTTTAGTCGCACAGATTGACACATGTATGAATAAGTTTCAGTTTTAGATTGGTGTATTGATCATGGCTATTTTGTGGAAGAGCTCTTGCAGGCAGTGAGCATACTTATGTTCTCTGTAAATTGGTACTATATAAAAAGGATGTTCCATTTTCTGTAAATTGATAGAAAATGGATGCAGGTGTGACCTTGGGGAAGAAAGAGCCGGATGGCAAATGAAAGACTGGGAGGACTAGGGATTCTTCTTTGCAGGTGGTAAGGTGGAGACCCTGCTTAGGGAACATGTTGCTTACATCCTCGCTGCTTTTCTTCTTTCAGTTTTAGATACTTTCCAGCAGGCGTGTACCTATCTTGCTATGTACTGAATTCTTTGCAACTATGTTGCAAACTGTATTAGGAGACAGATAATCAGGAAGATATATAATTCGTGTGTGTATTAATTAATTATTACCATCACCTAGCTAGCTTGACGTGAAAGATCGAGGCAATTTTTTACTGTATGGATGTTGTGTCGCTGGTTTGTTGTGATGTTTCACGGACACTTTGTTTTTCATTTTCGGGACTTCATGTGAGTTTTGGGCCGTGGCTCCCTCAAATCAAGTGGGATCAACACTCCCTATATGTTAAGACGGTCCTTAATTAATGCTATAATCTTATATATGATGACATTAAGGGACACTTTCCACGCCTTGCTCCTTTTCATTCCGTTTTAGACCATTAGGTACTTTCCAGTAATCAATTTGCAAGTCGAACAATATGTGTCAGAGATTGTTTCCCATTAAACGAGGTGAATGCATTAAAACCGTTCAGCCCAGCCCCTCTCCCTCCTTCCTGATCAACCCGCTCCTTCTCGATCAATGTGTGCACCAGAAGGCACCGTTTGCCAGGCACGGGACTAACGCGCCCGCTGCAGTATTGGGCCAAGGTCAAGTCCCTCCGGCCGCATGTGCCCTAGGTCGCCTAGCACCATCAAGCACCATCAGCGATGGCGGCGAAGAGAAGCGGCAACATGGATGGGTCGCTGGGGCATGTGAGGATTATTTCTCCCGTGCAACGCACGAGCATTTTTACTAGTCTTTACCAATAAGTATACAATAAGACTGTAGTAATAATAACAATCTTCTGAAGTCTGAACTACAAATGATCTAAAAACTGCAAAACTTGTAGGAAATCTTTCTCAGCTCTCGCGTCGCTCCCTTCCTGGGGCGACATGAGCGGCGGCTCAGCCCCGTCCACCGCGCGCCCTCCTTCCACTCACTCCCCTCGCCGTCGCCGGTGGGCTCCGCCGGGCGAAGCCCGCGTGGATCCGGTGGCGGGGGGGCCTCTTCTCCCCGTCGTTTCTTGGGCGCTCGCGAGGGGGAGCTTGCGGCGGATGGTGGTCGGCGCGCGGAGCTCCGCGTAGGCTGCGGGCGGAGGGAGGGGTGCTGGGGCGGCGGCTTCGGTCCGAGCTCCTGGCGCGGCCTGGGCGTGGACGGCGTGCGCAGGCAGCATGCGTGTGCGCGGTGACTTCGGATGCGCGCGTGGGGCGCGGACCGGCGGCGGGCGCGGCGGCGGCCGGCGCGCGGCGGGCACAGCGACTGCTGGGCGTGGCTGGCTTGACATCCCTGTAGCGCGAGGTGTGATGCGTGTGGAGTGCCGGCTCCTGCTCAGATGCTTCGCTCGAGCGGTTCGATCTGGATCTGGCGCCTCGGTGCTCCGTTCTGGTTGCTGCTCCTTGCGATGCAGGTGGTTGCTGCGGTGGTGGTGGCCGCGACGGTGCTGCAGTGGTGGTTGGCGGCTACGGCCAGGGGGTGGTGCGTATCTGGGCGCGGTGGATCGTGGGATCCCGCGGTCAGAGTGAGGTCAACCTCGGCTTGGATGGTGGCGCGTGGGCGGCGGTCGGTGGCGATTGATGGTGGCACAACTCTGGGAGAAATCCTTGTTCCGATCTTCATCGGAGCCGGCGATGGCGGCGCCCGCGGGTGTCGTTACCTTTCTTGAAAGCGTCGTCTTGGAGTTGTGCTCCTCCTCTCCACGGCATTGGCTCCGGAGGGAAACCTCAGATCAGCTGGATCGGGCGATGGGGGCGTCTTCGCGTCTTTCTCCTTCTTGGGGGCATCGTCTCGGAGCCGGCTACGACTGGAGACCGGTGGATGGCGGCATCTTCGCTGCGTGGCTTGCTGAGGCGGGGCGTTGGTTTCTGTTTTGGCAACGATGATGGCGTTGAGAGGAGCTCGGGTCGCAGCATGGACTTCGGTAGTCGGTTCTTCCCGGCGTGTCTGAGGTGCCCTTCCGTTTGGAGGGCTCACTCGGCGCAAGTCCTGCATATTTCCCTTTCGAAGCTCGTCGTCAAAGTCGGAGCTGACGGTTGCTTGCGCGTGTGGCCATCTGTTGGCATGTGCCGTCGTGGCTTCGGCGGCTGTTTGTAGCCCCGTGTTTCTTGTCGGTGGCCAGGTTGGCCGGTGGTGCCCATGTCATATGGGTTGAGCTGTATCGGTTTTAGCCCGGTTTTCCGCCAATTAACGGGGCAATTCTCTTCTTCTTAATCAATGAAATGGCAAGTCTTTTGCCTCGTTTCAAAAAAAAACAAATGATCTAAAAGGAAAAACAACGTTTCTATCGGTTTTCTATCAATTTTTCCTTGGTTTTCTTTGGTTTTTTTCTTCTTCTTTTCTTCCATTTTATGTTTCATAATACATGTCTATTTTATGCAACACAAGTTGTACATTTTTTGTGTATATCAGAAATATTTTTTTAATACACATTGAACATTTTTAAATTATATGATTAATATTTTTGGAAATACATCATTTTCAATATTTTTTGAATATGTGTTGACCATTTTTTCAATACACGGTGATACTTCTTTATTGAATGATAGGGAACATTTTTCAAACTACGCGGTCATTTTTTTTACATCATATAGTAATATTTTTTTAAATGTCACAGACATCTTTTGAAATGCATGGGCATTTTTAAAATGCAGCGCACCATTTTTTTGAATGGTATGAATTATTTTTTTAATTACAGAAACATATTTTTCACACTATAAAAATATTTCACGTACATCTTTTTGAAATGAATACTTTTTAAATATCACATACATTTTTTGAGTGATATCAACATATTTCATAACTATGCTAACAATATTTTTACATTGCATTAACATTTTTCAAATTCACGGTTTTACATTATTTAAGTGATTTATCATTTTGAAATGTATGTATTAGAATATTTATCCTTTTACATGATGGGGAACTCGTCAAGATTGGGACACATCCGTCGCCGTCCGCTACAAATTAGTTTAGGTTTTAGTTGAACGGACGAAATATCATTCGGTTTATATAAAATATATCGAATTTATGTCCGTTTGCATGAATTATGTCGTCTTCGCATCAATTATGTCTGAATCTATTTATCTTACGGATGAAGGTTTACGGTAAGCGTTGGA